CCGTACGTGTTACGCAACACACAAGCTACTACTCGAACATGTTTTGGTGTCGGTATTAGTTTATGGGAGCTAGAAGCCTTGACTTATAATTAAACCAGCTGACTAGGGAAACTAATTAAGTTAACACATTATTAGCACAAGAAAATTAAAAAAAAAAGGTTTCTTCTTCTTGTTGGCCACTTTTCTAACGAGAGAAGGTCTTTTCTAAAACTACGAACACGTTTTCTTATTGAAAAGACGGTGGATAAAAACATATCCCACCTGCTCCATTAATAAATATTTAATGAAACATTTTTGAAAATTGACAAATATTTGTTGTAGCATGCGAAAACAAACAAAATTAAGTGCAAGGAAAAAAAAGGAAACATATAAACCTAGCTCTATCCGGAAAAAATATATATACGGAAAAATGTTGCAATTTCTTTTCTAGGAGCCCTTTGTCCAATAATGAGATCTAGTAGAGAGAGTGGTTTTACGTAGTAATAAACCTTTTTCACTATTTTACTTTCCACTCAAGCATGACAACTTTACAAAATCTAGAAATAAGTTATTTTTATAGACAATGGTCCTCGAAAACAATCACGAACTTGATGGCGTAGAGTTGTTACGCGGCGGTGAAAACAAAGAAAGCCTTTCCACGAGGACTTTCTTCAAGAAAGTCTTACCATGAGGACTTTCTCAAAGATAAACGCCGAGAACTGGCTATGATCTCTTCAAGAGATCAGAATTTATTCAATTCGAAAAGATGATAGCCACTGCCCCGAAACAAATTATTTAGAGGAAAACTCTAAAACTATAAAAAAAAGTTAAAAACAAAATTACTAAGTTACCCAACAGGAAATAAGAAATAGTAAACTACAAATTAATTTGAGGCCCTAAACGATCTCAGATGCTCAAAAAATAGCGGATCTCATAGCCAAGCTATGAGTCTTGCTCGTTGGCCTGTTTCGCTTGAGCTATACAAATTTCGACTCATTCGAACATTTTGGATTTTCAATCCTATATAACTTTTTGTCTTACATCAAGTTGGCATCAATTGCTATCATCTGATCGAGGCCCTTTTCATATTCACTAGTGTGAACACCGTGCAAAGCACGGTATACTGTACATTATTTTTTCCCTGCTACAGTAATCTCGTTTTAAATACTACATCAATATTTTTTGAATTACTACAGTATCCAGCCTATACTACAGTTTTTTTCAAAAATGTTACAGTATTCCGTGTGCTACAGTAATATTTTTTAGAAACTGCGGTATCCTGTTTTTCCTGTTTACTACAATAATAATACTACAGTAAATGTTATTGTGGTATTCACTGTAGCATGAATAGTGAATTTTGGGTTCTCCCATTTGTATAGAAGAATAGATATGAACCAAATTCAATGAGTTTACACTAGTTTTTCTCGTCAAGCTCTCTAGGAAAAAAATTATTAGTACAAAACCCACAATGAGAGGAAAGCTTAGACTAACTCGGTTCAACTTCAATACTTTTAGCTACTCGGAAAAGTTACTTAGACTATATATATATATATGATATGATCTCTAGGTTGCAAGCTAGTGTTTAAAGCCTTTAACGGCAGTTCACGCGTTTTTTTTTCCACTTTTTCTCAAGAAATCCCACCCTGTTTTATTAAAGAATTAATTAATGAAAAAAAAACATCAAATAATTAAGAAGTAGATTATATATTTAATATGTCATTAACCAAGATCGTCATTGTCGACTACATCTTAAACCTTAGCCCTTAAGCATGCTAGTAATTAGCTGCGGTCAATGTTCAGAAATAAAGTAGCCATCACACGCATGGTTTGCTTGTCATCTTAAAAACATAGAATGGAAAAATAGAAGCTAGTGATTTTTTTTTTTTTTTGTCAATTAAGAGTTATTTTCTTTGTAACTCCCCTCTTCGGTGAATTAGCAAACCCAAATTTCCAATAAAGAAAATTTTAGTTTATATTAGAAATTGTAGAAATATTAATTCTACATAAGGCCAATGCCTGCACACATAGTGATTAGAGTAACTTCAAAATATTCATTAATAAAAGCTAATAACATTAATCCACGAGATTTCAAACGTTTAATTCTTTCTTTTTCCAAACACGCGATATTTACTTGATCAAGATCACGTGCAGAAAAAGAACGTGAAAAGGTGTCACAATTAAGTGCGGAAGGGATAAATATACAAGGGAAAATGTGTTCTCATAAGGTGGCGGATTAGTTAACCGACCGATATTGGTGACTCGAATCATCAAATACAACTTAATTTGTATGATTTTGTTTTCTCGTGTATATAGGTTTTTTTTTTGGGACTTTAAAGTTGACTAAAATTTTGGAAGGAAAAAAAATACTAAATAAAAACTTTTGAGGCAAATTCGGCACTAGATTTACGTCATGGAAAATTTCATGCTAGAAGAAAAACTAGATAAAAGAACACCGATGGACTGAGAAATTTCTTATTAGTTGTAGAGGTGGCACGAGATAATTAAGCCTCCAACGTAGCACAACGAGCAAGTTTGACCGAGTGCATATATAGAATTAGTCAAAAGATTTTCCGTAGGTGAAAATTCTCAACTGAAGGCCTTAATTAGGTTAGTTATCTAAGAGAGTTTTAACTAGTCAATTAACTTTGATATATACAAGAGAATTTTCTGCAATATTTTCTCCTGTTCAATTTCCTCAAAAGAGGGGGAAAAAAATTAAAAATCTTTCTAATTAGTTAGCTAAATCGAAGCCCCCTAAACTCCTGCGTGGCTCTTAATTAAGGACCAAGTGAGCTTCCTAGAAATGAATAAGGAGCTCCATCCTATTTATAAAGAAATGAAATTATCCTGCGAAAGATGCAGACTTGAAATGTTCGTCGTTTTAATTAAGTCAACCGAATAATGTGAAAAGGGGAACAAACACTCACACGCTTGCTTAACTCTCTTGTTCGTTCATCTACCCTACCCCCCCTACGTACTCCACAAAAGCCACACGGGGTGGGTGGGGGCTCACTTGCCTCCGTGCTAAGCAAAACCAAACTAGAAGCAACTAGAATTTTGATCATGACTTTGAAACTTAGCTGCGTACTTTTTTTTTTTTTATATAGAAATTAAAACACCACCCAAACTCTCGATCACTTCCAAGTTCCAGTCAACACAATCAACGGCCTTCCCATGCATCCCCACGTCACCGCAAATTAACTATAAACACCCCGCAGCAGCATGCACCTATAGCTTTTAGTGTTTCCCAAACAACAAATATTTACGCCCGCCCGCAATTTGTGTGAAGTCACTTTCTCCGAAGGCCAACCAACCATCTACACCCCCTCAAAGGACAATTCTCACTTTAACTCTTTAGGTAGTCTAGACTCTAGACATCTCTTAAAAAAAAAGAAAAAAAAACTATAAATAGGCTCCTCAACTTCTCTCATACATCATACACCGCCAACCAATTAATCAAAATGGTGGAGATGAAGAAGAGATTCAGAGTGGATGATCAGAACACGGCATAGTCGACGCTCTTCTATCGCTCTCTCGGGAGGAGGCGGGGTACCTGGAACGGGTCGTGACCATAATCGTAAGCGGGTTTTCGAATGCCAAGACTTGCCAGTAAGCAATTCTCTTCCTTTCAAGCGGCTCGGGGTCACAGGGCGAGTCACAAGAAACCGAGGCCTGGCGACGGTGACACGGGCCGGCCCAAAATGCAAGGCCCAAAGCCCACAGTGTTCGATTTGTGGGCATGAGTTCGCGACCGGGCAGGCGTTGGGTGGGCATATGAGGAGGCATAGAGCCGACAATGATGGGTTTGGCCATGCGGGGCAGAAAGCCATCGGTAGAAGGGTCGACCTGTGGGATTTGAACCTGCCAGCCTCTGGCAACGATGCTGAGCATCGAGATTTGGGGCTTGTTGGGCTCGAGCTCGAGCTCGGGCTTGGGCTTGGCCTTGGAGCGCATTACGTACATAAGACGATCCCAATGGTGGACTGTTTTCGTTGACAGAGTCTCGATATCATTAGTTTTGTATATTATTGTTCCGTATTCGCACTTAATATTTTGTTCTTTATCGGATTATTCTTGTACATGAGAATTTTGTAGCCATATGATTATTTTTGTATAGCATGACGCATAATTGTCATTAAATTCTCCTTACAATCAGATAACCAAGGCTTTAAGATGCGATATCATTTAGTCAAAACACAAGTTACTTTATTATTATCACCTTTTTAGCTTCTACCTTGGATATCCATCACATATTTCCCTAAATCGACAACAAATACTGAAGCGGGACAACATTTCCAGTTGCCCAATTATTGTGTTAACGTTCAATTTTCAATTTTCATTATGTGCCAAAATCCTTGATACATAGGAAGAGATAAAAACTGCTGTATTTTTACAAGGATCTTCTACTTTTAGGAAAAGTAGATAGATTAAGCCTAAAGATCAACAAAATTTCTCCTAATACATAAATTAGTTGCAACTATCTCAGCAAATTATCCACAATGCCGTACAGTGGTAGAATAAACTGTTAATCAACATTTTACCCGAATTATGCTACCTCCTGAAACTCACAATGAATCTTGCATATTTCTGCACGTAGCTTTAGCACCTCAAAAAACAAGCACAATGGCTTAAACAGAAGTCGATATATCTCTTACGTTAGTGAAAGTAAAAGATTACCTGATAATAATAACTATTTAGAGGGAAAAGAAAGTTCCGCCAACTGTTGAGGATCAACGGGTGAGGGCGCCTTTGTAAGGGCACACTGTGCAGTGGTGGTCTTTGGAAAAGCTATCACATCACGGATTGAACTTGCTTGTGACAAAAGCATTACCAGGCGATCCAATCCATAAGCGATGCCGCCTGCCAAACAGTTGTGGAAAAGTTAATAATGTACAGTTTTTAAAACACGAATTTAAGCATCCAAAGAGAGAACGCCGAGGCTATTGTTTCCCTTACCATGTGGAGGAGCACCCATGTCCAGACACTCCAAAAGATAACCGAATTTATCTTCAGCCTGTCGATCATCAAAGAAACTGAACAGTCTCAATGCTCCGTACCGTTGCTTAAGTGTGGGTGTAGGCATATAACCGATGCAAATATGTACACAAACCTAGAACACAACAAGTTCTTGGATTTTTCTATCTGTTAATGTTAATCATACTTTACGCTTTAGCAATAAGTAAGCCTTAATGGGAAGATTACTCAAAACAATCCAAATTCCATTTTACACTTCTGTTCCAATCTATTAGCACATCACGTCATCAAGGTGTGATCCGAATACAATATCTTAATCAGTATATGCAAAGCTCAGCTAGTGATCCAAACGACATTTAATCAAATTAGTGATCTTGAATGTGTCTATCTACTTTGCATAAACAAACTAAGTTTGTGTGCATACAAGTGGAGGCTTTTAGATATGACTGACAAATTCTAGGGAGTAGCAGGACCAGTTCTTATGAAGAAACTAGCCCAGGCCAACAATCAAAGAGTACATGGTGTCTCATATCATCTTTTGATTTGCAAGGAATATCCAACTCTATGAAAAACACCAAAGCTTTTATCCAAAATTTCTAAGATCAGTTAAACGAATCCCTCCTATCCGCTCAGTTCTATTAAGGGCTACCTTGGCAGCCTACTCAGCATTTTATTCTACTGACACAATTCATGTTCATTTTGGGGTTTTTGACAGCAATTTATGATTTTCTAAAGTCATTCTCCAACTTGCACACTACATGGTGAAGTCATGAAAAAAGAGAGTCGACAACAGTATGCATGATTAAAAAAAAAGGGACTTTCCAGCATAATTAAAAAAAGGCCACATGTGTATGGAGATCAAGGTATGTCTCAGTAGAAAAGGAGAGGGCAGAAACGTGGGAGAGAGAAAGATATGAGAGATGTAATTTGTAAAACAAACATGACCAAACAAAATAAATTGCATAAACAAGCACGATTAAAAAAAATTACTAGGCGAAATTGCAGGAAAACTGGAGAAGCACTAAATCAAAGAGGGTCTAGCCGAATTGGTAAGCTACCTATGAGTCGTACTCCAAGGTCTCTAGTTTGACTCTCCTGGGGAGCACACAGGAATTTAATTTCGTGGAATACCCAAGGCCATGCGTTGGGCCACATATGGGGGTTTGATACCTTTGGTCCAAAGGATCATGGGGAAGTTACCTCGTTAAAAAAAATAAAAAAATTTCAAAGAGGAAATAAGAATTAAATTATTCATCCTTAAAGTTTAAGAGTTGCACCTGCTTTGGAGAAATACCAACTATCTCTAGAACCTTTTCCTGAATTTCGCGTTTATAAATTCTCAAACTGCCACCACCAATCTGAGTCATAAATAATACAAATAAGCAATTATATAGCTTACTCCCACTTACAAACGTAATCAAACATACAGGTACAAGGATGTGCTAGAACTCACTCTGAGAACCACGCACATACTAACATCGATTTTGTAATCAAATTAAAAAGATTCTAAGACACATGACACGCAACTGAAACATAAACATCAGGCATTACAAATCTTTGATGAAACTTTGATTGTATATAAATTAATGCGAATTTTTAAATGATCTATGAACAATTTATACGGTGGACATCTTGGTTTTCTATTAGTGAAGACATCTACTTTTATTTTGTTTTCATATGATGGAATACATGTAGCATGCCTTCTATTTACAAACTTCTTCACTTTTTTTAATTACTAGACAGGGTTGTTCTTCCAAACACTTCAATACCAAAGAAATTTCAATATTCTGGATAAAGAAACACTAAGCTATTGCTAACCATTTAGTGAACAAGCAACAAACACAAAGTTAGTTTTCCACTGAGTGCAAAATGGCAACTAAAAACAGCATTGTTTGTAAAACAACCAGAATATATATCTTGAAAATAAGAGTTAATGGTGTAGAAAAAAAGTATTGTTAATCGAAATCATTAGGTAATTTAAGATCAGGAACAAGAGAGGTACCTCAGTTCCATTGTAGACCATGTCATAAGCTAATGCACGAGCTGAAGAAATATCATCAATATCTTCCGGATTTGGTGCAGTAAAAGGGTGGTGCAGAGCCTGCAAAAACAATCAATCAACTTATTAGACGAATCAGGGTAGCATTTTCACAACCTGGCTCTGATACCATGTCATGAGGAAAAGTGACTTGATCTCATTGTGGGTCAGGCCTCGTTATTATATAGATAGGAAATATTTTGAGATATCAAGTGTACCCGATGTGGGACAAACTTAACTAAAATATTCTTTACTACTCTAATACAACTAATGCATTCAGAACAAGAGAACAACACATAATCAAATGTAAGCTAGCAATAGCTTATGATACAACAAAAGCAAATTTGATAACAAGGAAATCTTGTAAAATTAACAAGTCTTTCAGGCTTGTTAAAAAAAGGAAGAATAAGTAGCTTTATTAAAACACAGCGTAGTTGATTTTGATAAAACATGTTCTAGAACGTGAAAACTGAGTACTATGCAAAACAAAAACCTGACTGTTTTCATATAAAAACTGAAGCAGCTTATGGGTTTGTAAATGTAATATGAAGACCAGCACTCAGACCAGCACTCAGATTCTTCCATCAGTAAGAGGTTAGTATTCCTACATCAAATAAAAGAAAACAGCTGAAGAAAGTAACTGACTATGTAATATGAAGACCAGCATTCAGATTCTTCCATCAGTAAGAGGTTAGTATTCCTACATCAAATAAAAGAAAACATATGAAGAAAGTAATTGACTTACCTCAAATCTCTGTTCCATAGCATTCCACTCAAACATTGGAAAGTCCGTTACCCACAAAATTGAATGACATGTCTAGCAATTTCAAAAACAAATGGTACGTAAATTCTATTGATGTTCTTCATCAAATATAAAACTTTAGGCAGACTAAAAACAGATTAGCTGAGAATCAATATGTAATATCTTGGCAACTAATTGGTATCTGTTTTGGGCATATGCATACACACATCTGAAGGTGCCGCATATGGCTGCATGCTCCATGAGCGTGCTTGTGAGATATATTACTTTGATGAGCAGGATTTTACTAATTAAGTTTCATGTGACTAATTTGTAAACTGAGAATTTTAACTGAGAAAGAGAGTGACAGTTGCACAATTTTTTCCAAAGAAATAGCAAATTCATCATTTGAGAGAACCTCACAGTTACCTAATTAAATTACTTCCAATCCTCTTAAAAATAACACCTTAACAGTCCTACATAAAAGGGACTGATATACCTGCAGTACTAGCGTTAGTGACTTAAAACCCCATAGGCAAATCCTATTAGCATATCAGAATTGAGAAGTAGTAGGTCCCTATCATTTCTATAATAAGCCACAAGAATAATTCAAAAACTCTGGTAAAGATACTTTAGATATGTGAAGTACCTGATGCTGAATTAAATGCAACAAGTTCAATAGTCTTCTATCTTTCAAGACTTCTATCATAGAAATGTAGGAAATACATGATTGCTGACGTTGCTTAATAAGATGCCTTGAGGTTCACTTGTAACAGCTCATACTCCTTGGAAGTTTTGAATAGCTTTCTTATTTAGAAGAAATCACAACAGTTTGTCATATGACAGTAACTAGTACACTAGTAATTCAATATTGAGATAGTTAAGTAGTGCTACTGTCAATCTGAAAAATGTTCATGTTTAAAGGAAGTACAGACCATACAACAAAAAGGATACAGGAAAAGACATGAGAACTTTCAACTTTTCTAAGAGAGGGTTAAAAAACATAAAGACTTACATTGTCGATCAATCCCATCTGATGAGCGGCAAACAATCGAAGTCTGTCAAGAGTCTTGTTGACTGCAGAATGGTGACCCACTGCAAACAAGATAAGGTCACCAGCCTCTGCATGGAAAAGGCTCAACAACCTCTCCCTCTCATCAGACCCGAGACTGGATACCAGTGATGGAATACCTTCTAGGTCACCTGGATATAAGCAACAATGTGTAATGCACTTAAGTAGACATGTCACACAATCCGTGCATGCAGAGCAAAGATTTTTTTTTTTTTTCCTTTCATTTTCGTTCTTTCGGCTAGTTACAAAGTATTCAAAAGAAAGCACAAAGGTTGGAGAAACTTCACCATTATCCAGGACCTTCAGGAAAGGCAAACCCTTTGCTCCAGATTTTATTGCTTCAGTATATATGTCACCCCTTTTCAGGGCCGTGTTTGAAAATCTTTTGGAACCTGAAGGTACACAAAGTGCTTTAATAATGCCACCGCTTTCTATGGATTCTGCAAAAATCTTGAAACCACATCCTCTAAAAATATCACTGACCTGCATTCAACCAAGGAAAAAAAACAGGAATTATTAGAAACAAAGAAACTTACTTTAGTCACTAGCTTATTAGCTTAACTCAAACTTCCCCTAGAAAGAGGGGGCAATTGGTAAGCTCTATTTCAACAATGTGATCAACATGACCGGTCAATGCTAAAAAATCTCAAAATGCTATCAGGTGATCCCATCGAATTGCCCTCCAGAAAAAGAAAAATCCCATTACATGGGGTAATAAAAGGATTTTGTGCTTGAAGTCCAAAAAAAGAGAAGAATGTAAGAAAATTAATGTACGTTTTGTCACTTTGCAAAGGCTGGCACAGAGCTACCGGGTAAAGCACAAACCATCTTGACTTTTGGCAGAAGATAACAGCTAAAGAGCTATAAAAAGCTCAGTATAAATGAATGAAAAGTTGAGTAAGACTAAAACAATAAAACTGAAGGTTATTATTGTGACATTTTCCCCTACAATCAATTTCAAACCACTGCTGATATTAGCATATGAATTAGTAGACACAATACGCATTTAACACGCAAAGTACTTGCTAAAAGCGCCAAATGATAAATTTTTCTTACATCTTTCAGTTCCAAATCAAAGCGGAGATCTGGCCTGTCTGAACCATATTTACTCATAGCTTCAGCATATGTAATCCTCGGGAAAGGACTGGGGAGCTGGATTCCAGCTATCTCACAAAATACCTGAGGCAATATACCTTATTAAGTTAGAATTTGCTTAAGTAAATCCAAACTTAAATATAAAGAAAAGCAACTCGTTTAAATATATATATTGCAGAAAAGAACGGACATGTCTTATCAGATCCTCATTCAGTCTTAGCATCTCTTCCATTGGTGTAAAAGCCAATTCCATATCTAGCTGTGTGAACTCAGGTTGTCTGTCAGCTCTAAGGTCCTCATCACGAAAACACCTGCGAAGGAAAGGACAACAGCATGAAACAGTGAAGCAATAGAAGATTATTTATGAATATGATAAGAAATATGGCCTCCTAAGCCAAGGTGGTACTGTTCATTCCAAGGAGACTCATTTCATATGCACGGAGTCCCCAAAACAAATGGATCTGAGGTTTGAGCCTTTTACATATCATATACTAGAGACATGGATATTAAGCTTGTGACCAAGCACAGACTTCTTCATTAATAAAACTCAAGCTCAATCATTCCCATACCACCATGCCTCAAGAAAAGTATCCTTGGTCCATGATTCATGCAGTGCATGTAAGTTTAACATATGATATATAGCAAATAATGTTCGATTTACAAGTAGATACAAAAACAAATTATCTGATTGAGTAAAAGTACTATCAAATGAAAAGCAGCTTATTAAGAAGTAGTACAAGTCAAATTATTGCCTGCTACTCATCAAAT